CAAGATTGAATCGTTGAAGCACTCTTCGAGGTAGTTTATACACTTGCAAAATGATTGTATTTTTCTTAAACATTATTATAGTGATTGCGATCGAATCAAGTGTTTATAGGTGAAACACCGGCACGTGTGGCTCGTGAGTTCCCAACTGAAGCTGTCGAAATTCCAGACGCAGACAAACTTGTCAAGCAATGGTCCGAGGGTGCGTCACCAAAGCGTCGCAGCTTCTTTCGAGTGAGCTTTTATCAATGTATCATGATTTGTTTCAGAGATGATGCGTTTTCAAAAATATCGTTGCAAAATAACAACATAGTATGTTGTTATGTTTTCATGGATATAGTTAGTCATATTCACGGAGATATTAACTTTGGAGTACGTATTGTTTTTTTGCCTACTTCGCATTTTACTTGTCATAAATGAAAATCGAGGCATTATCCGTGATCCTGAAGATGCGATGTATGCAAAATTTCTTTCAAAGTTCATTTTGTAACATATTATTCGGGATGTTTAGACAAATTTTTCTCCCGCCTGAAGTTATCAACATTTATTGCAGCCACGCGAATCACTCCTCGAGATTCCATCAAATGTACTTTCACCACAGACGTTGAAGGGAGTTCGTCCCAAATTGGAGGATGTGCCTGAAATGGACGATGAACAGGTTCATTAGCCATTGGTTCTTGAACAGATCAACATTTTCGAATGATTCAGTTCAATTCACCTCTATAGATTCCAATTGAATATCAAGCAGTTGCCCATGGAATGTTTCACGTGTTTGTGTACAATGCAAAAAGCGATTGAAAGCTTTTGTTAATATGTGATTGAAATCACAGTTGAATTTGATTCGTTGAGCTATTGAAATAAGTAAATTGCAGGATTCTTTCGAAGAAAATACAAAGAAAGTAACAAATGTCACGAAACGTCGAGGGCTTCGTGCATCGAACAAGTAGTTTCGGTATCTCAAAACTGATGATATTTAATTAGTATATCGCAAAATAGTTTGCCGAGGGATATACGTCAGCATTTCTTAATAACATGCATTTTGTGGCTATGTTAGCATATTTAATGATGTTTGCACGTTCTTATCGTTGTCATCAGTGTTGTTTGATCATGATTACTGTTCGTCTTTCATCGTTATTATTAATTTACATTCACCTCCATAGTAACGAGACTGTAATATTGCATTTGATCTTGCATTTTTCCAAACTTTTTTGAGTAAAGGAGAGAAATTCGGCAGGTCTCTCAGCGACTTTTTTTCAAATTCCGATGTGCATTATCGAGACAGTTTGTGAGTTGTGTCAGTTCTTATCATCCTTGTATCATTTTATCGTCAACATTGATGCCAGTTTTATCGATAGCGCTTTTCATTTCAGTTGATTTGCGGTAATATTCAGGTGTTAATGCAAAAAGTAGTAATATCTTTAAATTTCATTTCAGCTTTTATCGTTTTTCGTAGCAAATTGTTCGTTGTTGAGTAGTAGTTGATTCTTCATGTTGGATTTTGTAAGAAATTTTTTTGAGCTGCCGTTTGAAATAATTTGTTTTTCGATTATACCAGTAATGCGGTCTGGCGAAATGTAGAGGATTTGTTTATTGTATTCAGTTAATGCGTTCGTTCAAATCATCACTGTAAATGGTTTATTACTTCAGTTTTCATAATTATCATTTGAGTGAGAAGAATCCGCGATTACAACATTTAGCTTCTTCTTGACATTTTTCGTTGAATAGTTGTCAACTGTATCATTCCATTCCATATTCACTTCATCGCATCGCAATCTTGATAAAGCGGTGAACTTTGATGTTATCATATCAATTGTAGAAAGAGTTGTAGCTGTGCTTGCAGAATATTTCGACAGGACGATTTTTTTGTCTTTTCAGTTTTTGTCATTATTTCATTTGCCTGATTGTTGCTGATGATTTTTTGTCCTTGTAATTGTCATTCTTTTTATAATAATAATAAATTAAAATTTTCAACTTGTTTTAGCATTCGGAAACGAATTAATTAAATGCTTAAGATAATTAAATGGACGGTAACTAGAATTGTCGATGAACAGAAACACTTTCATGATTGACCTAAGAAAATCTATCGGGGTTGAGAAATCTAGGAATGTGATCATTCATTGCAGTGCAAACTGATAAGTGAAGAGCATCGAAACAGTTTGACGAAATTTAATTTATTTGCCGATCATCATTCAAAGGCCACCGATACACTGCAGGCGATTGTTTGTTTAGGTCACAAATTCAATCTGTACTCGAATCAGAATCCTATCA